TTACGGCACAGAAACCAACTCCACAGACAGCTCTAAAGCATGAAAATAACCGTTTGCCACTGCAGAAGACCTAGCAAGACGGGATCCCGCACCCCAGGACCAACTGAAGAGCTGGCCCGCACTCCAATCACGAGAAGAAGCAATCACGCTTCAACCTAGCCCGAAACGGTTGAACATGCCTCACGAGAAAAAGCAATCACGCCTCATTTAAACTGAATCAACTCCAATGATTAGAACCGAATTAGTCGTAAAATTAGACTAAGAGAATAAAAGAAATAATCATAAGATCCACAAATCATGGTAATAATTTTTTTTTTTAATAAGAATGCTATAACAAAAAAGATTAATACTAAATGCAATCCTTATTGAATTTAATTTACAAGTGTTCGTATTCCTATAAATAAACCTCTTATTTGAACATAAGTTTTTATTTTTATTTTTATTTATTTTTTTTTACATATTTTTATACAATAGATACAATCCAAATGACCATTTACACGTAACAAACTTATTTTAAAGATTATATTCTAATTTATTCTAAATATTGGAATCGAATTGGTGATTAAATGGGACAAAGAAAATAGAAGAGATAAACACACAATCTACTAATTTATGGTAACGATTTTTTAGTAGTGTCATAATATTCATTTCTATTCAATTACAAAGTATACTAACTAAATCATAGATTTTCAGCGATCTTTGTTTTTTTCATTATTATTATTATTACTAGTACAACACCCGTGTATTACACGGGTGCTTGTTAAAAAACTATTCTTAAATTTTAAAATTAATGAGAAAACTATATTAAATTTAGTTTACTTTTTTACAAAAAAAATATATTACTATATATTTTAGAATAATATGTGTTACTTATGACTTACATGTGTTATATTATATTAGTTTTTATAACTTATATCATTAACTACTTGAAATATAAATATATTAGTTGATAAACAATTTTATATTTCTAGTTAATATTAAAAATAATTTTATTATTGTTATAAAGATAAATATAAATTATTTTTTTTATACATACAATATGGATGTTAAATCGAAGCTCATCAAAAGAAGATTAATTTGATATATTACATATGTAAGACTGATAAAAAATACAAAAGTTATTAACTTTTAAAATATATATTCAATTCAATAGTTATAATAAGGAATGATATTAAAATATAATTAATACATGTAACATGACCATAAATAATTAACATATTTATGGTAATCCGAACCTAATTATTTTTGGTTTGGAATTAAATTAAAATTTATCCAAGCCTAATAACGAAGCATATAATTTTGCCACATAGGATTCCGAAGCACCAGAAGCAGCCACGCAGGCTCAGCGCGTTCTAGATTGATATATAGGGGGATTATGGTATCATGATTTTTGTGTTGAAAATCATTTTCTTTTTGGTATCATCCGAATAAACAAAATATGTGATATTTACCAGATCTAGAAATATTATCACTTTAATAAATCACATGTTTTCAGTTGACACGAATGTGAGGCTTATAAATATCCAATCAAACACATACGATAAAAAACAGCTTACACGAAAATACATAATTGCATATATTGTTTTTTTTTCCAAACGATATAATAAAATTGCTCAAACCAAATAGAGTTTACAACCGGATTGCATACTAGCCATAATACAAACCAGAGAACCAATCCACTCGGTGGCCTAGAAAAACATACAAAAAAGAACAGCAGGCATAACCGAGGCTATGAGGACCTGTGCCCTCAGCACTAGAAAAACACAAACCAAACAAACAACAAAATAAAGCTAACTAAATCCAAGCCACTGAACCTAAAAGGACCTAGCTATGGATAAAGAAAAAGCAAGAGAAAAACAACAAAACCTCAAGAACACACACAGACTCAGACCACTCCCTATGAGCTTGCTTGACCACTGTCTCCACTGGCATCCATGTGTTTTGAAAGACCCATAAATTCTGGGACTTCGGGGACCCATAAACACACACATCCATATATTGTTAGGGTCAGTCTTTATCGCATGTTGGGTTGAAGAAATCATTTTTTAGTTACAGTCAGTTGCAGGGGCGGACGCAGACTTTAAGTACAACGGAGGCACAAACTACGGTTAACGGTCAGTGCCGAAAGTCAACGGTCAAAATCAATATTTAACTAGTTAAAAAAAGTAATAAAATTAAATCTTGGCTAGACACATTTTTCTTATTTAATAACCAGAGTTAGTTTCACATTTGATTTCAAGGATAGGAAAAAATTTGATTCAATCACTATATAGTACATACATTTATGTATAATATTTACTTCTGTATGTATTTTCGGATGAAAAAGGAAATAAACAAGTAGTTGAGTATAACATAAGCATAAATTCCACAACTTAAAAAATAATATATTGGTTTAATAATTTTAAACATTTTTTTTGTATATTATTATATTTAAATAACTTTGCATAATAATTAAATAACATGTATTTTTATGTCAATATAATAATAAATTTATACATAATGTATTATATACTACTTTACTAAAAATTTTACAGGGGCCTGTGCCCCTACGGGCCCCTATGTAGATCCGCCATTGGTCAGTTGTATGTTATCGTGTCACGTGTAATTAATAGGAAGGAGTTGAAAATATTAATTTATGGGAATGATGAATTACCAGTAATCAAACTAATAATGTTGTGTACAATGAGACTTTTAATAATGTATGACTTATTACCAACGAAAAATTTATGCTTACTTTTATCATACGTATTATAAATTGTTAAGTAATGACCTTCAATTCATAAATTTTTCCAAAATAAATTTAGCCCGTACATCACACGGGTTACGTATCAGTATCTTATTACAGGCACTACTACTAAGTACTAACCTAGTGTAAACTGGAGTGAAAGTTAAAAAAAGGGCAAACATGTACTCGGGGTGGGTTATTTTTTTTAAAAAAAAAAAATCTGTGGCAAAAAAAAAAACAAAGATGTGGAAAAAAATAAAACGGGCGGATTCTCATAATCCGTGTTACTAATTAAATTTTTATTCGAAACACGGATTTTGGTAATCCGTGTTTATTTTACATCTATTTTTTTAAAAAAAATTATTAAACACCTATTTTTTTAAAAAAAATTAACGGTCGAAACTGTCGGTGGAATTTAATAATAAAAATAAATTTACTTTATAACAAGGATTTGGAAAATCCGTGTTTTGTTTTTTTTTAAAATAAAATGAAAAACGGATTATCAAAATCAGTTTTTTGGTTGATATAAAAAGCTGCAAACTCCTCCCCCCGACCACAGGCATTCATTCAACACTTTTTTTTTTTCTGTTCCATTTTTGGCGATTTGAAGGCCAATTATAAAAAAAAAACATTTCAACCAATCGTCGGAGAAGAGGTTAGTTGTTATTTTAGTGTAATGTAGTATCATTTTTTTGTTGTTTATGAATGTTTAATAGATATATTTGGTTTTTTTTTCCGGAACGATAGAGATAACTATTACTCAAAGAAAAGAACAATGTTTAAGTACAAATCACAACTAGAGCAAATCGAAAATTGAGAGGACACGCTTGCAAGCGGCCTAGAATCTCAAAGCAGATAAAACCAAACTAATGAACTTAGAACTTCCCCACTGCAGCAAAGCCTAGGGAGACTAAGAAACATCAACAAACCTAACAACAACCAATGAACCAAACAAACAAACAACCCAAAGATACAATAAAACAGAAATAAAGAAAACTAAGAAGAAGCAGCTGCAATGTAGTCCAACCAGTCTTTGTGAGCTATGCTGATTAGTTGATGAGCTGGAATCTGAACATTTTGAAAAAGCCACAAATTCTGGGATTTCCAGAGCCACCAAAGTATGTAGGTTGTTAGTTGTATCCTAGCTTCATAAGTTTCAGACTTGTTAAGGGAGCAAACATCAAACCACCAAGGAACCAGGATTTTGTTTCAAAGAATTCCAAGATACAGGAGCTAAATCCCAAACTCTACATGCTTTAGGGCACAAAAATAGGATATGTTCAATAGTCTCTGCTTCAGAACCACAAGTATTGCAGATTACATCAATGTCAAGACCTTTCTTCCACAGTTTGGTCATAACGGGAAGAGTTCCATTTATGCACATCCATATGAAGTGTTTAAGTCTACCAGCCACTTTAATTTTCCAGCATCTAGAGAGACCAACACTGAGAGTACCTGGTGAGGAGCTGCTACCAGGGATGTCCATAGCAAGGAGCTTTTGGTTTGAGAGGAAAGAATAAGTGCTGGCAATAGATAAGAGGCCCTTCTTGTCCAGCTTCCAGTACAGCCTATCAGGGTGATTGGGTTTGAGAGTATTGATGGCCAGAATAGCAGAGCTGTCCCCAGGATCAAAGACTTGGTTGACTAACCAGGAATTCCAACCAGTGCCCGAGTCATTCATGAGATCTTTAACCCACACTAGGTGATCTCTAGCCAGCTCCATCAAAGCAGGCTTAGGTTTGTGAAGGTTGGGCACCCAGTTAAAGTCAGAGATCTTTGTTGATTCACCAGTCCTTACTTCTATAGGTAAACCCTGAGCAAAAGTAGGAACCACTGCAAGCCAGTTAGACTAAAGCCAGGAGCAATTGTGAGGTTTTGTAGCTTCAAAGATGGAGCAGTGAGGATAATATCTGTCTTTGAGGATTCTACTGACCAATAAGTCAGGATTTGTAGTTATCCTCCAAAGTTGCTTACAAATGAGGGCAGTGTTGAAAAGTTTGATGTCCAGAAAACCTAACCCACCACTGTTCCTAGGCAAAGACATAGAAGCCCAGGATTTCCAATGAATTCCATTGGGTTGATCTTTCCTATTTTGCCACCAGAATTTAGAGCACAACTTGGAAATTTGAGTGCAGACAGAAGCAGAGAGTCTGAAGCAAGACATGGAAAACACTGGCAGAGCTTGAATTATAGATTTGATAAGGATTTCTTTACCACCAGAAGATAAGAGTTTAGTTTTCCAGTTCTCAATTCTAGTTTTAACAGATTCAAGAACAAAATTGAAAGCCTCAAGTTTGGATCTGCCAATGCCTAAAGGAAGCCCCAAGTACCTTGTGGACTTATGAGAGGTAATGCCTTGCAAGGTGGAGCAGATGTTGTCTTGGAGATGTTGAGGAGTATTTCTGCTGAAGAAAACAACAGACTTGTGCAGGTTGACCATCTGACCAGAGAATAATTTGTATTTATCAAGAATAGTCAGAAGCGTTGCAGCTTGACTCACACTAGCCTTGCAGAAAAAAATGGAGTCATCTGCAAACAGCAAGTGGGAGAGTGGAGGGCCATGTTTGGAGAGTTTTATGCCCTGAAGAGAACCATCCTCTAATGCAGCAAAGATTAGAGCTGAGAGCAGTTCAGCAATGATAATGAAAAGGTAGGGGGATAAAGGGTCCCCCTGCCTTAATCCCCTAGAGGGAAGCACATATCCACTAATAGAACCATTTACCTTGAAAGAATAAGTGCAGGATGAGATGCAGATCATTATTAGGTGAACAAATTTCTGATCAAACCCCATTTTGATCATGGTCTTCTTGAGGCAGGACCACTCAACTCGATCAAAGGCTTTCATGAGGTCCAATTTAATTGCCATGAAGAAGTTCTTTCCAGAGGAATGCCTGTTCAAGAAATGGAAAGCCTCTTGGGCTATGATCACATTATCTAGCATTTGTCTCCCTTTTATAAAAGCAGATTGGAAGTCGCTCACACAAGAAGGAAGACAGTCTTTAAGTCTCAGAGCAAGAACTTTGGAAAGGATTTTGTAAACCACTGTGCATAAACTGATAGGTCGGAATTGAGAGAAATTATCAGGATTTAGAGATTTAGGAACCAGTGAAATGATGGTGTGGTTCCAATATTTGAGGATCTGACCATTGTCAAAAAAACTGGATAAAGCAGCACATAAGTCAAATTTGACAATACTCCAAAACATTTGATAAAAAAGAGCCGTCATACCATCTTCACCCGGAGCACTGTCAGGACTTAGGCTGAAAAGAGCCTCTTTAATTTCTGCTTCAAGGACAGGCTTGAGTAGACTTTGATTCATGCTTTTAGTGATTGACTGTGGAATGTGGTGGAGGATGGAGTCACCACCCCAAGCACCTTCTGAAGAGAAAAGAGAGGAGTAGAACTCTGCAATATGGTTTTGGATTTCAGGTTGAGTGGATCAGACTCTATTTTGATCAGTGATTAATCTGCATATAGCATTTTGCCTCCTCCTCATCATCACATAAGCATGGAAAAACTTGGTATTCCCATCACCATCTTTTAACCATTGAAGTTTTGCCTTTTGCTGCCAGAAAGATTCTTCATCATGGTGAGCTTTTTGCAATTCTGATTTAGTAGCCACCCAAGATTCCCAGTTATCAGCAACACTGTTTTGCCTTATAGCTTCAAGTTTGGGTGAGAGGTGTTCAATATTGGACTGGTTTTGGGATTTGAATTTAGCACTCCAGATGATTAGGGCTTCCCTTGTGCTTTTGATCTTTTCTTTAAGTTGGAAAAAAGGAGTCCCTGATTGAGTGGTGCTCCAGGCTGCTTCCACAATCTGAGCAATGTCAGGCTTGAGAAGCCATCTTTTGTCAAAGTGAAAGCGGTGTTTTGCTCTGTCCTTCAGTTCTCCAGAGTCTAGAAGCAGCATAGAGTGGTCAGATGCACTTTTGATCACATTGGAAATTGAAGCATTTGGGTAGGTGGTAAGCCATTCTGCAGAACCAAATCCTTTGTCCAGTTTTTCTTCGATGAGGTCCTCATTAGATCTGTTATTGCACCAAGTATATTGGTAGCCAATCATTCTGATTTCCTCCATGGACATGTTGTTAATGAATTCTCTGAAACCAGCTAAACTCCTGGCACTTCTAGTAATACCACCCAGCTTTTCCTCATTGTTACAAATGTCATTCCAGTCACCGATGATAAACCACTTGTTACCCCAGTTGCATTTATCAGATTCAAAGCACCTCCACTGCTCAGCTCTGATTAGAGTGCATGTGCTAATGTAAACAAAAATTCCCCAATAGGAACTGCCATTTTGAAGAGAGAAATTTACTGCAATATAGAAGTCAGTAGTTGTACTTTGCAAGATTGGAACATCAGAATTCCACATGAGTAATAAACCACCACTAGAGCCATTAGCATTAATAATAATGGATCTGCCCTCAAAACCTAGCTTTTTAACCACCGTATTTACATAACCAGAAGCCTTTTTTGTTTCAGACAAGAAAATAAAAATTGGGTGATGAGCTCTTACTGTATCTCGGATTTGGGAAACTGTAGAGGGCCCACCCAACCCTCTACAGTTCCACACCGCAACTAGCATTGGGCACTTGGGTGCCAATCGAGGCTGGCCACCCCCACCTTTTCCGAAGAGTATTTGGATTTTTTGTTATCAACTGGAACAATTGACTTGCCTTTGTTCTCAGAGAGAGAATCATCCTCCTCCGGTTGTTGCCTTTTCTTAGTAGCAGAGGGTTCTCTTATGATTAAATCAGTATTCTGTCTAAGAAGCCATCCTTCTTTGTTGCCTGATCTTTTCCAGGTTTTAATCAGAGGCTTTTGAATCATCAGAGTATCACTAATCTCATTGTTGGGGATGATAGGTGAAAGATTGGAGCAGGGGTTTTCCACAGACATTGGCTGGGTAACAATTGCAGAGGGGAATTCTGAATTAGAAATAGGGGTAGTCGCTTCTCCCCTGAAGTAGAGCCACAGATATATTCTGCTTGAGTATCTGAGAGATTTGAGGATGGATGAAAGAGAGGCCTTGCCTCATCTTGAATAAGGAGGAGCTGGTTATCCTCCATTTGACTGGTGGCTGTCTTGTTAGGAGATTGGTGGAATGGAGGGGTATGAGTCTCCGAGGGAGAGCCTCTAGAAACTGAAGGGCTCAGGCTTGCCCAGTGCTGGCCTTCTGCTCGCATCCAGTCACCATATCCACCTTCTTTAAGAGACTTGTTTTTTATGTATGCAAGCCGAGATGAACAGCTTCTATCTAGGTGACCAATAAAACCACAATAATGGCAGAAATTAATGAGTTTTTCATATTTGAAGCCAACATTCACAATCTGCTCTCTCAGGCGGATTTTGGTGCAACGAGGAAGAGGTTCGTTTAAGTCCACTACAACCAAAAGTCTTAGGACCTTTCCCCCATGGCTTCCAGCACCCATGACTACTACATTAATGGCTTGCTTAAAAACCGATCCAAGCTTTAGACCCACGTCGGTACTCAACCAATTGAGGGGGAGATTGAAAACCTGGACCTAAATCTGGAGTTCTTGGAAGACTGAATGCTTACTAGAGAGACCTGTCTGCCAACGAGAAAGGATAAGATATTGATTATCAATGCTCCAGTTGTTTCCTTTGGCTACTCTCTCCATATCTTCCTTGCATTCGAAAATGTATTGGAAATAATTGTGCTCCAGTTCTTTGACTTCCATCTGTTTTTGGAGCTTCCAAATGAAACCCATGGCTCGCTTAACTCCAATCCAGCTCGCTTTCCGGTCACCGATTACTTTCCCAAAAAGACAGCGCTGGCATTCTTCGTCACTGAGCTTAATATCTTCATTTCTTATATCCACAATAGAGTCTTCTCTGCCTGAGAGGGAAAAGTTTTCCAATTTCTGCGGGATTTCATCATCCTTTTCTTTGCTAGATTGGGGGTTCATAATGAATTAGGGTTTATAGAGAGACTGGAAAAGGAAAACGCTCGAAAGCCTACAATAAGAGAGGAAATCCCCAAATGCAACAGAGGAGATACAAGATCAAAACAAGGATCCGAAAGATGGTGGAAGAAATCGAACTACAATCGCTCTCCAAGAGAGAATACAATCGCTCTCCAAGAGAGAATACAATCTTTAGATATATTTGGTAATTGAGTATTGTTTAGGAAATCTTGAATATTGGTTTAATAGTTGCGTTAAATGATTATAATTAGCTATTGTATGATGGATTTTTGTTGTATGTTGAATATTTATCCGAATTGTTTATAAATTTGATGTTATTGTTGGATTATGGTGATTAATTAGGGTATTAATGGTGATTAGGGTTTTTGTTGTATGTTGAATATTTATCCGAATTGTTTATGAATTTGATGTTATTGTTGGATTATTGTTGGATTATTGTTGGATTATTGTTGGATGGTGGTGATTAGGGTATTTGCTATTTTTTTTAGTTGGAGCAAAAATATGATTAATTATTTTTTTTTTTGTGCAACAGGTTATAAATGGCGTCTATAGGTCCATACTTTGTTAATGTGTACTGGAAAATTCCTCAGAGTGAATTAGGGAATTTTTTGAATTTTTTGGCTCGCCCGGATTGTTCATTTATTATTAATGAAAAAATATCATATGAACAATTGGTAGATATGATTTACGAAAATGGTGGATTTCGTGATAGTTGGACAATTTCGAATATTACTTTCATGGTCCAACAACCGGATGGCTCGTTTATTCCCGCAAGACTGGATAATGATAGTGCTGTTGCGTGGATTTACTACTTTCCTCGTATGTCCGTTGTGTTTTTGTATATAGTGTTGGAAGCAAACACACAGGTTACACAGGTTGAGGATCCTACGCCATCATATGGTTACGGGGGAGTGTTTGGTGATGAGCGTACGTGGACTACGCATGCCGGTAATTTTGGTGAAGGGACGAGTAATTTGGCGAAGGGACGAGCTTTACGATGAGAGGACCGGGCATTGAGGAAGAAATTGTTGGAGATGAAGATTTCAGTCCCGGTGAAGACGATTTCACTGATGAGACCTCGGAAACCGAATCGGACAGATCAATTAATGAGGAGAGTGAACAAGAATTCATTGAAGAACACCCCTTTACAAATGAAGGCCTCCATGTATATCGCGAGATGGGTGAGTGGGACTCGTCGTGTGTAGACAGGGACGAGTATGCCTTGCCACTCTGGGATGGGCATGTCGAGACTATCCGTTTGGGTACAGTTTTTCGTACCAAGGAAGAAGCCCAGACTGGTGTTCTGGCCTGGAACGTTGAGAATCTTAGGGCTGTCCGGACAAAAGATTCAAACAAGAAGTCATTCAAAGTTGTGTGTAGATCGGCTGAAGTTCCACCATGTATATGGAAGGCTCGGGTGAGTCTTAACACACGGGTTCACGACATGTGGGAGGTAATGGAATGGACCGATAGCCACACTTACATGCAGGTGTTCGAGAGAAATGACCATAAGAATGTGACCGCCACCATGATCTAAAATCTTCTGTTGGCT